AAACATTCTGGTGGTTTTGAGATAAATATCACACTGAGAGACTGGAAGTCGACTTAAAGTGTCTAACAAACTGCTAGCATGACGCAGTCCACATGTTTTACGCCTTGTATTTGTACTATTTTTCACATATTTGAAAATGACAGGAAATCTGATAAAACTAGCCATTTTCATTGTTGGTAATAATTAAAATAAAATTCAGTTTTATGCTAGTTTTGGTCAAAGCTGCTGCAGAGGAACCAAAGAGCCACAGGTTGCAGACCCCTGAGCTGGATGCAATATTACTGTTAGCAAAGTTGGCACATCTTAATTATGCTTTCACAGAAAACCTTTTTTTTTATCTTTGAATTTAACAATTACTGCTCAATTTTTTCCAGCTGAAAATGGCATTATTCCGACCCTCATCCGATTGATGGGTGCATCCCTGATTCTGACATTTGACAATAAAAAACTTTCTCTCTGTCTTCTGTCTAGTTTGACTGCTGATGAAAATCTTGTCTATGCTTCTCGATGAAACAGAATCAGTTGAAAGACGGAAAACATGGAACTGGGAACTTTTTGACTCTGGGTCCTGTTTAGTTTGGCAGTGTGGGTAGTAGCTGCATCGTGCCCAACCATGTCTGCTAAACCCATTAGGTGGGACAGGCAGACGGAGGGAGAGAAGGAGGAGGAGGAGGAGTAAACACGCAAAGGAAACGGGAAATGTAGCTGCTCTTTCTGAGATTCGACGACATAAACCTGCTTGAGTATTGTAAATGATCACACGTGGGGAACGCTGTTGTTTTTGAATATTTATTACCAGCTCGTAAGAGTGTTTGATGTATTTAAGGCTTTGAGGCCTTCAGAGTCAGCTTATGAAGGAGCAATGTGACTGAGACTGCATGGAGCCCTCCAGGCTTGGCCCTGTCTGTCAGTGGTGATGCTATGGCTCATATGCAGATGCCATGACCTAAATGAAAAAAATTAATAAATGCTGATAGGTTAAACTTTGGATGTTAGTTGAAATAAAACACTTAAATTGGTAGAAAAAGTAAACATTTGATCATATCTGGCAGAACGAGGGAATGGATCAAGTTTTCCTCCTCTGCTCATCTGTTTAATCTCGTCTTCTTCAGTCTTTGTTCTTTTCATTGCTCAGATCATGTTTTCCGTAGTACAACCCAAGTGTATTACGGCACATGTCAAAAAGGAAGATGACGTTATAAATACACTTTTCATCGAAACTTAACAGATTAAAGCCATGTGATACATTAATAAACAAACCTTTTATTGACACTCGTGTGAAGCGATGAGGGAGGGGACATGTAAAAACACACATTTTGGGATCAACTCTTTCTGACTCTGTCATAAACACGTCACACTTCACAGCTCAGTGGTCCCTGGAGACAATCAGGCTGTCAGGCAAATGCTAATCGCTTATGTGTGGATGTAAATTTTTCTTGTTGTATCACACATCCACATTTTTCATTTATTTTCTTTGTTCTTTGCTCTTCTTTTGTTTCCTCTTCCCCAGTGGATGCATTATGGCACAGAACTGTGGGTAAATTCTCCCAGAGTTTGGTGTCTCTGACTTTGGCTTTTCCTCAGCTAGGATTGGAAAAATTTCATTAACATGCCCATGAATCTCTAACTTAGAAATTATTTTTGGGTTCTCGTTATTTTCCCACTATCGTTCAAAGACGCAAAGTCTCGTCCACGCAAACACACGTGCTTGGTTTTTACGCAAGCGAGCACAACAAACCGTGCGTGCATACAGATGTGGCATACATGTGTTTGGACTTAGTTCTGCTCTCCACCATTGTGTGGGAGTGCAGTAACTGTCCAGGGCAGCCGTCTGAACCAGATGTAGAGGTCAGTGTTAGAGTCAGGGTGGAGGGGGGGAGCAGTATTAGTGTTCCTCTTGCTGTCCCAGTGGAGCTATAGCCTTTATTAATTCTTCCTCTTCGGAGCCCTCATAAACTACTGCAAGGGGTCAGGGTCGTTGAAAAACAGGTGAAATGGAACATTGGAGCAGGTTTTGTTAGATATAAAATTGTGTTTTTATTATCGCCCATTGCAATGAAAGGCCAGTGTCGTAATTTCCTTTGTGTGACGGTGCATCGGTGTTTCATTTAACAAAGGATCCCTTGAACTGGTGTGTGAATTTTAAAAATACTTTCAGAAAGTAACCCTAACAACTTCTGAAGTCAACCCAAGTCTGCCACAACTCAACCATAGAAAACATAAATTACTTTAACTTGGTCACTTTTATACATATTTAGCTAAAACTTGGTGTAGTAGTAGCAGTTGCGAGTGATTTCTATCAAGTCAAACTCAAAGTTTCTTTATTTGTCATTCTCATCACATGTGGTGGAATGAAATTGTGGACACAGGGTCCCAGTTACAGCCAACAAAAGTACAAATTGTAAAGAAAAACAGTAATAATATCTAAGATATGAACTAAGAAATACACTAAACTAAAAATAAGCTAAGAACTAATAGTACAAAAACAATATGCCGAACAACAGCAGCACGAACATGAGTCTGTGTGAGCAGATGAGTACGAATGAACACAGCGGCGTGAAATACATCAGCAGCATAAGATCAGCAGCATGGATAGTCAGCAGCCCATATCAACAATAAAGTGGCATTACAGTGATTTTTTTTTCACAGTGATTATCCTGGTTAGAGATTCATGAGTCTAACAGCCTCAGGGTAGAAGCTGTTCCTCAGTCTGTTGGTTCTACACTTAATGCTCCTCAACCTCCTGCCTGAGGGGAGCGGGGCAAAAAGTGTGTGTGCTGGGTGAGTGGGGTCCTTCATGATGCAGGTGGCCCTCTTCCTGCATCTGGAGGTGTAAATGTCTGTGATGGTGGGGAGGCTGACTCCAGCAGTCTTCTGTGCAGCCTTCACCACTCTCTGCAAAGCTTTTCTTTCTGCAGCTGTGCAGCCTCCATGCTGCACGTTGATGCTGGAGCACAGGATGCTCTCCACTGCACACCTGTAGAAGGAGGTGAGGACTGAGCTTCCCAGACCAGCTCGTCTCAGCCAACTGAGGAAGTAGCATTTCTCAACATCAGTTTTGCGTTTTGTTCATTTAAACTAAAATCTTTGCAATTGGTGAACAATATTGTTGCACGTGGACTTAGTAGATCACTTTTAATATGCTCAAAAAACTCAGAAATTAGTGAATTATAACTTACAAACAAGGAAACGATTTAACTGTCACCATCATTTTCACTGTCCTCTTAAAACTGAGCCTAACTCTGTCACTGTTCATGATTAGAGCATTGAAGTTGAATGCAGGCTTTCTGCAAACACGAGTTGCCAGCAGGCTTGCTTCCACTTCAGGGTCAAAAGAAATTCCAAAAGTTAACTGTCCAGATGCACTATGGGAGTGATTTGCTGCCCAAATATGGCTGACCAATATGGGCCAATATCCAACACTTTCAGCACTCTTTTTCAGTCTGTACCCACTGTTTACCTGCATCCCATATCTAGAATAAGTCAGCAACATTTTTTGTCATATTCCCAGAATTTAGGCATTGATCTTCAGATCGATGTGGAATATCTCTTAAGAAGACTCCCTCTGGCGACACAGTTTGAACCATGACATGTGAGGTGGATCTTGATGTTGTTTTAAAGAGCTGAGTGCTCAAAAATCTGTCCTAAAAATACAGGTTGGACCCACACCATTTCCAAAGTATTCTAAAAGTTTGTGAACCTCATCAAGGCGTAAAACTGTGCGTCTGTATTTTGAGTTTAGCTGAATTTGCACAGACTTTCCAGTATAGTTGGGTGTTTTTTTTATATTTTATTTTATTGTAGTTTGCAAAAGTACTGTACATGTGTCAATCTTGGTTCAATTCATTTGCAAATAATTATTGGTGTTTGTTTTAACTTTCTGAAAGTATCAGATTGTGGTTTTTAGTTTGATGCTGGGAAACAGTCATGTGAGTTTTATACATTCTTTAAAGATGTGTGAATAATCCAACAAAGTGAAGTCAGGTCCTCTGGACGTTTTCTTTTTTTTGTTGTTGAAATGTTTGGTCCTTCATCCAAAGGACTTCATCAGTCCGAGGAACCACAACAAACTCAGTCTCACAAGCAGCACACTCCCATGGTGGGCCAACCAGTTTGCTGGTGATAAGATTTTTTTGGAGCCCGCCCTCTCCGCTGTCAACTCCTCTGAGGCAGCCATAGCCAAAGTGGTTCAAAACATCAATGTTCATGCTCAATAATCCAGGTAGAAAATCCAACAAAGTTAATAAGTCAGTCATCTGGACGGTTTCTCTTTTTTTGTTGGGTGAGACGTTTCGTCTTTCATCCAAAGGACTTCATCAGTCTGAATGAAATGAACAAAAAAAAAGAACTGTCAAGAGGACCTGACTTAACTTGGTTGGATTTTTTACCTGGATTATTGAGCATGAACTTTGACATGTAAACAATGTTTCACACAAAAATAACCCATCCATGTTTTTGGGACACTTGGCAAACCATCATTTTTTGGGCATAAATGTCTGATACAAATGTTTGATACAAATGCTTAGAGAAAAAAAAGTCATCTTAATGCCAAATTCTGTTTTTGTATTGCATGTTTTTATTGTTTTTGAAATTCAACCCTCAGCCAGCAATAAATAAATAAAAGTTTCCTCAGAATAAATCTATTTTATGGTTTTGTTCTCAGAGTGCCTCAAACTCGTGTGGACCCTGGATCGAATTTTCATACATTTTTCAAACCGCCCTGGTGGAGTTGTTTCCAAAAAATGTTATTTATATCCATTTCAGAGGGAACAAAGCTGAAATTTATCAGGCAACATCTTTAATATTAGTTCTGGATTGTAAAAGTGTTAGCACTCTGTCATGCAGGGATTTAAGATACATACTCACCTTTGAAATATAGAACATTTTGGTAGCTTTTTGTGCCAAGAGATTTTGCACACATAAAACACATAAAAAGCATGCCCTAATTTTTCTCTCTCTTTTTCTCTTTTGTTCCCCTCAGGATTAACAGAGCTATAGCCATGCCAGTAACAAGTAATAGGTCAAGGCAGAGGGCTTGGGCTAGTGGACCCTGTGTTCATTCAAGTCAGTGCCAACAGAAGCTGCTGTTTTATTTAGTCATCGTCCTGGTTCAGACCACAGCTGTTCTTGGAGCACTGGAGCTCCAGCTGGATGAAGGCCAACCAGCAGGGACAATTGTTGGAGATATCAGTGCAGGATTACCACCCGGTGAAACCGCAAGCCTTTACTTTATCTCGGACCATGAGGGCACAGGTGTTGGCAGCGACCTCCACATTGATGAGACCACAGGCATCATTACCACAGCACGCCGTCTGGACCGTGAGGAGAGGGACCACTACAGCTTCATTGCTGTAACTATGACAGGTGTCACTATTGAGGTGTCCATTACTGTTAACGACATCAACGATCACGCACCTGCGTTCCCCAAAAAGAAAGCCATTCTTAAAATTCCTGAACACACAGCAGTAGGGACCAGGTTTTCCTTGGATCCTGCGACTGATGCTGACAAAGACCAGCTGACCACCCAAGGCTACGCCATCCGAGAGGGTAACGTAGGCCAGACATTCAGGCTTGAGACTAAGAGGGGTGCTAACAAGGTTCTGTATCTGGATTTGGTGGTCAATGGACTGCTGGACAGAGAGAAACGCTCATCGTACAACCTAGTTATAGAGGCCTTTGATGGAGGCTCCCCCAGAAAGGTTGGATCCATGACTCTGGAAATGACAGTGACTGACATCAATGATCATGCACCCGTCTTCAATCAGAGCAGATACCATGCAATTATTTCTGAAAGTCTCCCACAAGGAAGCAGCATTCTGCAGGTTAGACACAGTCTTCAAGTATTTCGGAGCTAACAAATTATACATTTGCTAACACATTTCAGTGTTTGATTTGCTTTGCCTGCAGGTGTTTGCAGCAGACCAGGATGAAGGAGATAACGGTCTTGTCCTTTATGAAATCAACCGCCGTCAAAGTGATCCTGACCGCTACTTTGTCATTGATCTGAAGACAGGAGTCATTACTCTAAATAAACCCTTAGACTTTGAGCTGAAAAGGGTTCATGAACTGGTGGTCCAGGCCAAGGATAATGCCAGCCAGCCTGAGGTAATTGCTTTATAGCTGTTCATTAAAGTGCATTAGAACAATGTGCAGTCTTTAGTAATCACAGCTTGCAGATTGTAGTGAATTGTTTTCGTCTTTTAAAATTGAAATGGTACTAAGCTATTTATACATCACAAATTATCTTGGTTTTGTAATTATATTTAGATGTAGACACAAATAATATTTGTGGTGATGTGTGAGTCAGGTTAATCAGGTTAATCTATATGTTTATGAATTTCCTATTGTAACCAGGGTAAAGCTATAGACAATATTTTGTGTTTATATGCACTTTGTGCAACACTTTTTTTTTCATTTTAGAAGGATTTTAATTTCTGTTAAATGTCTAACATTTAAAATCTAAACATTTATGGCTCCAAGACAATAGGCTTTTTTTGATTTTCTAGTGGCATATTATTATTATCTTAAGCCATGGGATTAGTTTTACCTATGGACCACGTAATAAATTTCTCCCCAACATCTGCTTTTTATGTGATGCATTCGCACGGGATAACCACAGCTTGAGATTTAGAAGAAATTTACGACATCTTCTGTATATGATGTTAACGAGCTGCAAGTCACGTTAAGCTCAGATGGACAGCTGTCACCAGTCATGCATGTCCACTGACCCGCCAGTTGAAAAGGACTTGTGCCCTGTCCAGGGTGTCCCCCACCTCTCGTACAGTGATTGCCAGACATGGGCACCGGCGACCCCTGTGACCCAAAATGGAAGAAGCTGTTTTCAAAAGAAAAACATTACCAAACAACAAATTATCTATAAAACTAATAAAATCTGCAAGAGCCTCTCCTGTACTTTTTCATCAATGGTTCAATCCATAGTACATTTTTGTACAGTGGTACTTGAAAGTTTAGAATTGTTCTATATTTCTGCATAAATAAGAGCTAAAACATCATCAGATTTTTACACGTCCTAAAGTAGATAAGGAGAACCCAGCTAAACAAATGAGACAAAAATATTATACTTGGTAATTTATTTATTGAGAAAAATGATCCAATATTACAAAAATTTCTCCAATCCGGTGTGCAGGACTGATCAACGGTTACCGTAAATGTTTAGTTACAGTTATTTCTGCACACGGGGGGCTGGGGGGTGTCACACAGGATACTGAAAGCAAAGTTTCACATACTTTTGCAACTCACAAATATGTATTATTGGATCATTTTCCTCAATAAATAAATGACCAAGTATAATATTTTTGTCTCGTTTGTTTAACTGGATTCTCTTTATGTAAGTTTTAAATTTTTTGTCCGTTTGTAAATCAGACTGATTGGAACACCAAGTATAATTAATTATTGTACTATCATATTTTTCCAGGTGACCAACGCTTTTGTGACCATTCATGTCCGTGACTTTAATGACAACCAGCCTACCATGACCATCATCTTCCTCAGTGAGGATGGCTCTCCAAGAATTTCAGAGGGAGCCCAGCCTGGCCAGTACGTTGCTCGTATATCTGTCACTGACCCAGACTATGGAGAGTACGCTAACGTCAATGTCTCCCTGGAGGGGGGTGATGGGAAGTTTGCTCTAACAACCAAGGACAGCATCATTTATCTGATATACGTAGATCAGGTCTTGGACAGAGAGGAGCGAGATTCGTATGACTTAAGGGTCATGGCCACAGACTCGGGCACACCTCCCCTCAGGGCAGAGTCCTCCTTCACCATCCAAGTAACGGATGTCAATGACAACCCTCCTCTGTTTGACCAGCAGGCGTACAGACAAACCATTCCTGAGGTTGTGTATCCCGGGTCCTTCGTTCTTCAGGTAACAGCCAGGGACAAGGACCAAGGCCACAACGGTGACGTGCGTTACAGCCTACTGAAGGGCAAAAACTCTCGTTCTGACTGGTTCTTGATTGATGCAGTTACGGGGATCATTACCACTGCAACTGCTCTGGACTTTGAATCCGAGCCGGCTCCTAGTGTAACTGTTGTGGCGACAGATGGCGGTCGCCCGCCTTTGTCATCAACCGTGAACGTAGACATTGTGCTACAAGACGTTAATGACAACGTACCTGAGTTTTCAAAGAAGTTCTACAATGCCTCCATCAAAGAAAACACCCCGGCTGGTACCTGCTTTTTAGAGGTAAGTAAAACCCAGACAAAAGAAAGCAAACTTTGCATCACATAATTTTTTTTTCTGCCTGTTTTTGTTTATTATTAATACAGTTTAGTGTATTTACTTACACAGATAAAAACTGGGCATGGCAAGGCAAATTTATTTCATACCAGGAGGCAACTCAAGGTGCTTTGCAGAATAAAAACAAGTTGACAAGAGCAAAGCAAAAAAAAAAAAAAAAAAACTCTGCATGCACCCCCCCACCCCAAATACAAAGTACAATGTTCAATCATTTAAAAGACAATTCATAAAAGCAGTACCAAACAGTTTAAAATCAATTACTTAAGTATGTGTTTAATTTAGATTTAAATATGATCCGATCAGGCTCAAGCCTTAGTTTGTTCCACATGAGGTACATAAAAACTAAAAGACCATTCCCAACATTTGCTTGTGATTTATGGAGCAATTAATAATCCTGTGCTTGCTCATCTGAGAGGTCTGGCTGGTTCATAATGTATACATTTTTATTAAACTTTTATTTAGCCAGATCCAAAGCCCATTGAGATCAAGATCTCTTACACAAGGGTGACCTGGCCAAGAAAAAGCAGCAACGCACGTCATAAAATCAAGACAGTAACAAGATACAGATTAGATAAAATAGTCCGTTAAGTATTGTTGAGTTAAACTGTTCAGAAATTATTATTTTTTTGTCTCTTATTTATGTTTTTACTAGTACCGTCTCCTCCTTTCAGAATATTTTCTTTGACAAAAGTCTGATTTACATTTCATTATGAAACTGCATAGAAATCAAACTTGTCTTAAGTTGAAAACAGACGCAAAGTTTCGGAGAACCGTCTGAGACGATAGTTCCCTTTTAAGCTCTAAATCATGGTTAGAATTCAAAAAGTCCATGTTCTATAAAAGGAACAGTGCAGCTATTCATTGTCCATTTTAGGAGGGAAAGACTTACAAAGGTAGAAGAAAAAATAAATTGAGAACCTGAAGTCCTAAAGCTACTGTGAGGAGATTTACTGTTTTCAAATGTCCTTTTTTCACCATGTTGCACTGCCATATCTACTCTAGTGGTGTGGGGTGAACCCATGGTATGTATATTATCTCTGTAGCTTGACTCTCTTGCTTTTACCATGACTCCAGGGCTTGATTAATTGTTGCGGACCTCTCCTGAAAAAGGAAAATAGATGGCTAACTGTCTTTCAGTTGGGTCTTAAACTGATACGAATTGTTTAACTGGAGGAAAATGTTTGAAATGAAAAACGTTTGAGTACTGATTGTAAAGGAAATCTAAGTGTCTAAATGATGCAGCGTATAACTGATAAAAAAAAAAAGCTTTTTTCTGTGCTGAGCTGTTAAATCTCTCAGATGAACTCTTTGGACCTTAATTCTAGTTCAGCAACAGTTGTAATCGACAGTTCCTCCTTTTTCTAATCATAGCTGGCAGATATTCTGGCACTGGGTGCTGGTGTAATCCCACGCCAGACATCACGGGTGGTTTAGCAGTACACTAGAGTGAGTGGATAAGGTTTGATTTGCTCATTCTTGCACGTTTTTCAGTTTTTTTACTGTGACCGAGCCAAGAGTCTCGAAGCAAGAATCTCCCCACAAGGGTTGTGATTTGCAGTATAATGGTTGCTGGTGTAAACTTTTCTTCTTCTGTCAAAGGAATATGTGGCTTCTCAGATTGGACACACATGCTCACAAGTGCTGTTACAGCCAAGCTAATAAACTAATGGATCTTTTTTTCCAGGTTTGTTCTGTTTGATTCTTAATTTGGGTATGAGGTTGAGATTGTGGGACATTTCATATCCCGCTCTGTCAGTTAAAGACATATTTAAGAACTGATGGAGTGGGTTACTTTTTGGCGAGCTAGTACTTTGTATTTGGAATAAGGGATTGGAGCGTGAGCTTTTGTCACGTTGCTGAGATTCAAGACAAACACAGACTATTCTCAGTATTGTTCCATAATTTACTGTAGATAATAATCACTGTTTGGATTTTTAAAATGAGCGTGCTGGCCCGGTCAGCTTAGTTTGGCCTTTGCTTTTAATGAAGAGAATCCATGTTTAATATCAAAGCAAGGAAATGGGTTACCAGAAGTGTATAAAAAAACTCACAACTTAGTTTGATCTTGTTTTGATTATAATCTGGTTCCAGTTTTATTCATAGTCATTTTTTTTTGGCCTTTTTCTTTATTTGTATTGTTGCTGCTTTTCTTTTGTTGTATATTGTTCAATCCATCTCGTTGCTCTCTCTCTCGCTCACTGTTTTGCTACACACACACACAGTTTCTGTGTGTAGGAAGCGTCTTATCAGTTTGGACTCTGTCAGAATCTGTAATGTGCTGCACTGTTTATTTAACCACTACACAAAGGAGTTATTTATTTCTTGGTCTCCTGCTTTCCTTTTCCTCTACTTCCTTTAAATATTTCCCAGGCAAGAGAGCTTGTAATGTGTGTGCGTGGCACTCACATCCGTCATAAGCGCTTTCATAACCTAAGGTGTTAAAAGGTTGTGAGAACAGGGACAATTATGAATGGTGCAGTCACTGATTTGCATCTAAAAGCCATCTTGCCTTTGTGTAACATATGAACGATTGGTAGTGCTTTGGAGTTCACTTCTTTCAAGTTTGACTGTTTTCTATTCCAAAGTCTTTGTAAAGTCCAAGAACTTGCTGATTTCCTAACTTTCACCCAACCAGACACCTGGAACACCCTGGTCACGGAGCAAATTCACCACCGGCACACATTATTTATAAGTTGTAAACTGGACAATGCTCATATGAAAGACTACAATGTGACTCCAAATACAATAAACATAAAAATAAAATCAAAGAGGCCCGTTATGAGGGAAAATAATGTGAGGTAGTTGAGAACAAGGCATCAAAGTGGAAAGCTCTCATGCAAGCACATAAACAGGTGCATGTCTGCATGCCACACATCTGTTTGTGTGTGCGCTTTTGTGCGCTACCGAAGCCAAGATATCACTTTCAGCAGGTGATGTAGCTCCCCTGTGATGTTCAGCATGTGGTTTGTTGGTTAAGCTTGTTAAGCAGCACTCCATCATCCAGACAGACACACAGATGTGCTCTATACTCCAAAGAGATGGAGCGCTGCTTGTTGACGAATCTGAGTAACAGTGCAGGAATTTCTGTTGTTCTGTGATGTTTTTTTGATAAAATATGGCTTAAACAATGGGGAAAAAGGCATAAGGGTCCGAATAACAAAGAAATAAGGGAGGCAAATAAGTTGAGCATTATAGCACTAATTTGATGCAGTTTTATATCGTCAACAAAATTTGTGTATAGCTTTAGAAACCTTCAAGGTTATTTTCATACATCTAAGGATACATTGAATGAACATGCTGCACATGACAATAAAGCTCGCTGACTTCCTGAGCGCACACTGGGGAACACCTTCATAATAAATTAGAGCCTCCAATTTGAAGACCAGAAGGGGCTTGTCAGATGTTGTCTCTATAACATGATTGCACTTTTGAATGAAGTGTCAATGAGACGTATTTCAGTCAAAATTTCAGACTCATATATTTGTTTAAAACAGTAAACAAACCATGGGTTTTTAGGAATTTAATGTTTTTAAACAATATTTTAGAGCCAAAAGAAAGGAGAAAGGCAAGCAGATGTTAAGAATGCAAAGAAGATTTACATGGATATTTCCATGAATGCACCAACAAGCACCTTGCAGATGTTGGACGCTGTCTATCATGGTGCACTAAGATTCATAACTGGCTGTATCGTACCCACCATTGCACCCTGTATTCACTGGTTAACTGGTCATCATTAACATCATGCAGCCTCTCTCACTGGTACATTTTCATCTTTAAATCACTTCTTAGTCTGTTGCCTTCATACATCTCCTCCTACATGTCACTTTGTGAGTGCAGCTACAGCGTGCGCTCTCAGGACATTATTACATGCAGTGTTCCCTCAGTGCAGACTGAACTAGAGAAAAGGGTCTTCTCCTACTTTGCTACTGTTTCCTGGAATATCTTGCAAAAAGATCTGAAGCTCTCGACTTTGACCTCTCAAAGTGGCTTCAAACATATGTTAAGTTCATGGGAAAATCCAATGCAGACATGTTCCTGTTTTGTATGCACTGACACATAATTGTCTACTGTTGTATTTGTTGTCCACTGTTGTCATCACTCTTTGTTAAAATCAGGTCTCTCTTGTAAACGAGTCCCCGAGGCTCAATGGGATTAACCTGTATAAATAAAGGTTGAATGAAAAAGAGCTATAAATATGATTAAGAGAGGCAAAATTACACAAATTATTAATAAACCAAGAACAATTTTTCTGACAAATTTATTGGCATTAAATTTAAAATTCTGGTCCATATAGCTAAGCATGTTTATTCACATGTCCTTTTTGCACCAACTAGCCTTCAATACAAATTCTTGTACTTTTTATAACAACTTCACAGATATTTTAAAGATACTTTACCATGCTTCGGCTGATTTTTCACATGGACATTTTGTGTAATAAATCGAAGAAAGTCTTGCATGAATGAGTGCATGTACAATGTGGAGATAATAGAAATATAGCCAAAACATTAAAATGATGTTTTACTATACATCATTAATTAAAACCCATTTTAATGATGATTATGGGTTTCCTTGGCAGGTGGCATTAGTCCCTCTGAATCTCCTACAAAACCACGCTGACAAACACAGCACGTCTGGCTCTGAGAGCCATCAGCCATTTAAGTGTGATGGCAAAATTCTGTAACTCTTCCTTGCCTCCATTATAGGGAATACTAACCAGACAAACACATGAATACACTCTGAAACTAATCACATTTTTTAAACCTAAACCGGACAAGCAGAAGCCGTGGTGATGCACCGACAGCAGGAAGGTTATTCATCTCGTGCTTTCTGTAACACTGAACCATCCTCTGCTGGTGTCCTGCTGAATTTAATCCTTCTTTCTTAGGAAACCAAAGCCAGAACAAACCACAGTTTGCTTTTGGAGTGTAGATAGTCTTCTCAAGACA